ATGTGACAGTAGATCTGTGACCTAGGGTGTGGCTTCTGTTCCCAGGGGTGCATACTCTCCTTGGACACTAACTGGTTTTCCTAATTACAGATCCCAGGGGTTCTAAACCTAACTTCGGCTCTTACTACAAAGGGGTCATCCCAGCAGATCAGGAAAGAGGAGATCAAAGTGAAAGAAAAGAATTTGAAGGAGTGTAATTGTTTCCCCAAGATACACTGTCTACTTTAGACAGACTCCCCCCAACTTAAGATGGGAAGCCCTAAAAATGCACAGACCCCACTTTCTGAAGGCCAACTTAGCAGACTGGGGGAGGAGGATGCGGCTACTCACTAGGTCCAGCTACCCTGAATGAATCCCTAATACGAGTTGGCACTGTGTTAGGTACTTTCTGCATGTTTATTTCATTGAAACATCCTGACAGCACCATGCCCATTTTACAGATAAGGAAACCAAGGGATGGAAAGATGAAGGGACTTGACTCAAATCACACAGCAGGCAACTGGTAAGAGAAATTCCAAGCCTGGTCTGTCTGATAATTTGATGTGAAAGGAAAAACAGATCTGCCAGGTGAAACCCATGGCTCCAGGTGAGATTAATACTGATTTCCCATTCTCTTTAATCTGCAGGTATATGGTTGGCACATGGAGAAGCAGAAAGGAATGAAAATGTTCTGCGGAAGGATTAAGGAAGAGAATGTGAGTCATTTCTTCTCTCTCCAAAAAGACTGCTGACGCAGGGAACAGGCACTTGGGACTCGAGTTCACATCTGAGCTCTGCCCACCTGAGAACTGTGGGACTTTGGACCAAGTCATTTCAACTTGCTGAGACTCAGATTCCCCTTTTGCAAAGTAGGGGCAGCGATGCCCACATCCCGGGGTATATACGAGGACAAAATGCACAGGCACAAGGCATGTGTCAAGCATAGTGCCCAGCACTGGGGGCACCCAGAGAGAGTCAGTTTCCTTCCTGCCTTTAAGTGTCCTCAATCCAGAAAATCAAAACTGAGATCTTTTGGAAAATAGTGTCTAATAACAAGAGTGAAGTTCGTCGAGCATTTACTATATACCAAGTCCAGTTCTAAGCACTTTCCATGTACGAGTTGAGTTGGCATTCACATCACCCTGTGAGAAGTACTTGTGCCATCACCACTTTGTACATGAGGAGATGAAGCCCAGAGGAGTCAACTAGCATGCCCAAGGTCACACAGCTCCTTAGCGGCAGAGGTGGATTCACACTTACGTCACCTGGCTACTAAAACTAGGTTCTAACCACTGCAACATTCTAGAACCCAGGTAGGGCTATGGATAGTAGGGGAGAGCCGTGTTAATATATCGGCTCCTTATAAACTTAGCCTTGGCTGCTCCAGGGATTCTGAAGTGGGGAAAATGTGGGTACTGTTTTTTGAGAGTTGAGTGGGCAATAGGAAGTGAAGGCTGCAGAAGGGAGGGGGAAAAAAACCACTCCTGAGCGTAACCAAAAAACTCAGTCCAGTCTAACATTTGGAACAAAAGGAAAAGGGCTGGCAAGCTGAGGTGCTGCATGGGATTCAGGTAAACCCCTTTCTCCTTCTGAGCAGGAATTCCCAATCACTATGGGAAGGGGTGGGAGGAGGGCAGGACTTGTGGGGTCCACATTTCACTTATCTAACAGGTCCGGGAGAAACTTTAACAAGATTAACTGCTGCTCAGGGCCTCTGCTCCACGGAGCAAATTGAGTCCATTGTTTTCTTTTTCTTTCTTCCCAACTGGAGGGGTCTGTGTGTGTGGTGGTGGTGCGGGGTGGTTGGGGATGAGGGGCAGGGGTCTGGATCCTGCCTGGTGTGGTACAAAAGCAAAGAGATGTGTCAGAAAGGAGCCCCAGCCCCGGACTTGAAAGGGAGCCCAACTTGCCATGCGTGAGAGCTGCAGGCTTTGGCTGGGGGTCTGTGTGTGGGGTGAGAGGTGATGGCGTTTACGTGACAGGTTCTCTCAGTGGTGAAGGGGGCAAGGCCTGGAAGTGGAGATGCCAGGGACTAAATCCTAGGAGCTGTGTCATCCAGCACACACCCCTCCCCTCTCTGTGTCTCCTTCTCCCCATTCGGCCCAAAGGAGAACTAACTGGTTTGAGTAACCCCTGCTCGTGTGAGCCTCAAGGGGTCCTCCGCTCCTAAAGACCATCCATCCTTGGTGGGCTCTCCCGGGAATCCTGCACACACCAGCACCTTGTAACTTTGGCTTTGTTTTTGCCTGCATATGCCCTTCCCGTTTTATTTATTAATATATATATATATATATTTTCTCCTTTCCTTTCAGAAAAATAAAAGGCATGTTTTCTGGGCTTCAGAAGCAAACTGCTCCTTCCTTCGCTCTTTCCTCCTGTCTCTCGGAGAGCGCCTGTCTGAACTGGTGTCAGTGAAGTTTGAACCGGGGCAGAAATAGCATCCCCGGGCGGATAGCCCGCCTACCAGGAGCGGCAAGGCCTGCCTCTGCCAGACGACAGACCCGGTTAACAGCGCCGTAAAATTAGACCTTTACGAAACCCAATTGAATCCCGCCGCAGAGAGTGATGTCAGGCGGCCTGGCCTGACAGCGAGGCAGCAGCCCTCTGCCTGAAATAGCAGCGCGGTCCCTGCTGAGCGATGACTGCTCTCTCAAGATAGGTGACCAGGGATTCCTAGGAAAGTGGCGACGCCCAGCCAGAGAAAGCCAGCGGAGGTCACACGGCAAACTGGGCACCTGAGGTCGCAGCGGGACGCTGAGTTTTGGCACCCCGAGCCCCTGCTGCCCACCTCGGATCCTTCCTCTCCCAGCCCAAACTTACATGAAGGAGGGAGCTGAGAAAGTACTTCTGCAAAGAACCTCTGTTTGTTTGCTTTTTAATTCAAGGAGAAGCAGGTTCTTTTTAGTCCAACGGTCTGTACCGTGTGGAGGATACGCAGAGTGAGCCTTTTCTGGCTCGGAGCCAGGTGTTTACACACCGCCGAATCTGGCTCGGACTCAACTAGGGGAGGGGAAAAAAATCCACCAGAATCCTCAGGGGAAAGAAAGCTCCTGGCTTTCTGGTGCTACACGACAGCAGTGCCTTTTCTTTCTTTCTTTCTCTCTCTCTCTCTCTCTTTTTTTCGTTCTGAGAGGAATGTTATTTCCACACATAAAATGGACCAGGCATTTTATACAAGCAATAATAACCTAACGTCCCCCATCCAATTAAAGTATTTTACTGCAACAATCTTTGTGCGAGAGAGTGAATGAGAGCTCAAGAGAATGCGTGTGAAGAGAGGCTCCTTGACTGAATTATGGACACTTATAAAGCAGTCTCCTGTGGAATCCCAGGTGTTTTCTACATATATATATATATATTTTTTAATGCATTCGCTACCTTTTCATGGATGATACCTGTATAACCCTGGCTCTCCTCCCTGGAAGGGAAGCCTTCCAAATCACTGGTAAGACAGGTAAAGACCAGGAAAAACCAGACCCACACAGTTGTTTTCTTTTTTTTTTTTTTTATCACCTCCTAGCAGCAGGCTCTATGTTTTTCATATGTTTGGAAAAAGAAGTAAACACGACACAGCCCAGAATTATCGCCACCATCGCTATGATTATGAATAACACCTCCTCTGCTCCACGTTAGACCCTCCTCTGGCTGACTAGGGCTTGGGAGTTAAAAGTGAATGAGCTCGGTTTCCCTCTCCTTCCCGGAGGAAAAAAAAAAAAGGAAAAATAGCATGCGATGACGTCAGCTGTGGGTTGGGGGGGGAGTCATTCTATTGCTCTCCTTTGGTAGCTGGAAAGTGGAGGATTTCGGGGGGCATGTTCTTGGTATAGCAGAAGAGTTCGGGTCTCCTGAGGGGACTTCATGTAAATAGGACAGTCAGCAGCGCATCATTTGCGGAAAGTCTAAGCCAAAGGAAGATAGAACGCAGCAGAACTTCCCGAAAAGCTCAGAGCTGTCCCTTCTAAGAAAGTGTGTGTTTAAGGGGGTGGGATCGCAAGCCGCCTGCACACGTTTCCTGGCTGAAGCGAAGGGGGAACCCCTACTCTCGCTTTAAGACGTCCCAGGTCATGGCAAGATTGTTTGTGCAGGAAGGGAATCTCCCAGACGGAGGAGGCAAAACTTTCCTTCTCTCCTCCGGCGCTGCTCCCCCCTCGGCGCTCCCCAGTTTTATTAAAGGCATTTCCACAGATTCATTTGGAGGGGGAAAAATGGATGTTGGAGCATTTCTAAGGTTTGCAACCCTCGCAAAGTGTCCGGTTTCACTATGGGCTTTGCGAAGGGGAGAGAGAGGGAGGGCGAGGAGGGAGAACTCAAATTCATTACGGGCTCATAAAAGTCCCAAATGAGAAAAGCGCCCCGTTTCGCGGCCGAGCCTGGGGAAGGCTGGCGGGGTGTGCGTTAGGAAGGTCTCGCCCCAGCCCCGAGTGACATAGGATGGCAGTGTGTGTGGCTGGGGGCCGGGCAGGGGGTGAATCCCAGAGGCAAGCTTCCAGCAGAGAGCAACTTTGGGGCACTTCGAGGACTTCTAAGTCCTGGTGATCACAACAACCTTGTCCTTGCCCGCTTTCAGTGTAACGGGGCCTAATGAAGGGGGGTTACCACCATTAAAACGTCAAAGAAATCAAAGGTCCCCTAGCCTCCTTTCGCATGCATCCCGATCCTGTCATCCTCCCCTTCATCCCAAACGGAGACGGAGTACCTCTGGCCATCCCGAACACGGGTTGCGTGCACTCAGCTCCCTGGAGGCCAGCCCTCACTGACTGAGGGTCTCGGGGCCGCCAAGATTGCTCCTCACGCTCCTCCCGGGGGCCAGGCAGCGAAGCCTTCTGAGTGCGCCCATTCTACCGATGGGGCAAAGTGAGGCTCGCAGTTCGCCTGGGTGTCTCCGCGCCGCTCGCAGGGCGGCTCCCGTACAGACACACCCGCAAGCCCCCCACCCGCCACCCACCCACACGCGCCCAGGCACCCGCGCGCCCCTAGGGCCGCGGGGACGGTGCAGCGCCCGCCGGGGCGCCCTCGCCTACCTGTGATCACCGCCGGAGACCTCTGGCCCCCCTCCGCTCGCAGCCACACTTGCAGCGTGAACGCGTCCCGGGGCAGCTCGAGGTCGGCCCGGAGGCGCAGCTGCTCGCCTCGCCCGCTGAAATAGAGCGCCCGGCTCGGCGGGCTCGGCTCCTCGGCGGCGCCCCTCGCCTCCCGCTGCTGCCGCCGCCGGGGGACGCGCACGGCTTCCCAGGCACACAGCACAGGCGGCGGCGCGGCGGCGGCGGCGAGAGCGCCGAGCGGCCGCGGGCCGCCCGGGTGGCAGCCAGGTGCACGGAACCAGAACGGCGGGCGCGGGCGGCGCCGCGCGGGTCTGCTCCGGGCCAGGCGGGGGCGCACTCGGCCAGCCCGCAGCCCAGCGCGGCGCTCAGCAGCCCCAGGCGCAGCACCCAACTCCAGAGCCGCATGTCCGACGGTCCCCCCCGCCCCCCCTTCGCCCCTGCACCGCCGCCCGGAGCTGCCAGCTTTGGGAGCCTCGGCGCCTCGACTTTCTTCGCTTCTTCACCCTTCTTGGGCGAGCCCCCCCTTCCACTTGCTTTTTTCTTTTCTTTCTCGCTTTCCTCCTCAAGGTGTGTGCTCCACTCCCCCCACCTTTGAAAAATACAGTCCAACTCCTCCTGGTTGGCAATTAATTTCTCTCCCCTCTCCTTTATCTGCCTTATTTTCCCCCTCTAACAGCTGGTTGCCTTCCTCCTTGTTTTATTTCATTTTATTTTATATGATTTCTCGCTCTTAAAAAAAAAAAGCTCCTCTAAGACACTGATCCGCTGAATTCCCTCCCCCCAAAAGATGCTCTAATTTATTTATTTTTTGCGTCCTTTATAACACAAGCCACAGCCCCCTTCTCCCCCCCAGTCCCCCCTCCCCTCCCTCCTTCTTCACAAAATGAAAGGAAAGAGGGGGAAAAAATCCCTCAGAAGATGAGTAAACAAGCGTATGCTAATCTGCTCCCGAGCGCTCCACCTTCCCAATTGAATGAGTCCCTGTTAAAACTGCGGGGATCATGACTAATCAATCAGTTTGGAGAGGCCGAGCTACCCAGCCTTCCTCCACTTTGCCGTTTGCCTCCTTTCCTTCGCTGCCGCTTCTCCACCCCCTCCTTTTTTTTTTTAAGAAGACAATCTTAAAGTAACAATTTAATGAAATTCTGTACACACCCCCTTATGGTCCTCCCAGCTCTCCTCATTCCTGCTCAAAACGCACATTCCTGTTTTTGTTTTGTTTTGCTTGCTTTTTTCCCCTCCCTCCCCCCCCCCCCCCCCCCCCCTCCTCTTATTTTTTCTTCCTCCTGGCGGGAGAAAAATCTATCTCTTTTCTCAGGATCCCCTTTGCACTTTGCTGGTAAACCTCATCCTTTTCTATAGCACATAAAGAGTCTTGAAACTTGATTCTCAGATTTTTAAAAATGCTCTCTCTCTCTCTCTCTCCTCTCTCTCTCTCTCTCTTTTCTCTCTCTCCCCTCTCTCCCTTCCTCCTTTCCTTTCCCTCTTTCTTTTTCTCTCCCTCACTCTCTCTCCTATTCTCCTCCCTCTCCTTCCTCCCTTCCTCTCTCTTCCTCTTTCCCTCCTCCTTTCCCTTCTCTTTTGCCTTCCCTGCTCTTTTTTTCCTTTCTCGTTTTCCCCCCTCTCAGAATTTCCTTAAAGTTATGCAATGAAGAGCGTCCCCCCTCTTCCCTGAGTCCCCAGTGCTGTGCCTCAACTAACCCAAATGTTGTTTCTCAAAGTCCTCATGGGATCAGAAGAAAACAGAAGAAAGGCATTTCTCAGGGCATTTGCCTTTCAGAAGCTGTAGACCAGCACAACTGGGTCTCTAAATTCCCCCGGAATACTCTTAAAAATATTCTGTTAGTTGTTAGAAATTATTTTAATTTTACATGAAAAACATAAGAGAAAAATATTAATTTGCCTCATTTTTTTTCAACGTAAGCAATTCAGGTCCTCTGACATTGTTCATGTCATTGGTAAGGATCTGACCATTTGCTGCTTTGTAGAGATCTGTTTTTGAACTGGGACATATATGTAATTTTTTTTAATTCTTTTTTTCCCCCTCTTTATGGAACTCAAAAGCTCCCCCTTATGGCAAAACAGTTCTTCTTTTTTTTTTCCTCCAAGTGTTTAATAAGTCAAAATGAGTTAGCGCTGGTAGATTACAAATTATTAGTTACCAATCTGTTCAAATAATGTAGTGACAAAAATATGCTGTGAGAAGTTTGTGTGTGGATAGCATGCTGGAAGCAGGAGATGAAATTAGCTCCACTAATTTGTGATTTTCTTCCCCATGTGCTCCTGTCCTCAGGGCTGCTCCAGATCCTTCCTGAGAGCTGGGAACATTGTTACCTGCTTCAGGGAGAGAGAAAACCAGTGGAGAATATGTGTTGGTGAAAGTCTAAAGATTTGTAGGATGAGCGAATGACTCAGATATCCCTTCTATGTAAAAGCCAGAGTGTAGTATATGCAAGGATCACAGCACCATTCTGAAAACAGGAGATCCCAGATTCAGATCTTCCTGGTTGAGAAAGAACTTGCCATGTAGTCTTAGGCCAAGAATGTTTGAACTCAGTTTCTCTAGTTATAAAATGAAAATTATACTACATCCTAAATGTGCTTCCAGAGACCGGCTGGAAGAAAGAAGAACTTAAGTGCATAGTGCTATGGTTAAGGAATTTGCCTAAGCAAATCTTTGACTTTCTGCAACTCCAAGTCATCTATAAGAGTCATGAGGTTGCCATTCAATAAAAAGAGAGCTGTATTGAATGACATAAATTGTATCATTTAAAATCCCCCTCCATCCCCAATGGAGGTTGGACCAGGACTACTGATTTACTTCATTTGTGGCAATTAGGAATTTGGAAACTGTATATCTTGGAGGTGGCTGGTGGGGCTTTTGAATCATTGCATACAATAGATTTGAATATTCCTAGGCATTTCAGATTTTATTAATTCTCAGACCAGGAGTGGGAACATGGAGTTTTTAGTTCTAGTTCTCATTCCCTCCAACATATATCAGCACTCTGCCTTGGCGTGAGTCATTTCCCTTCTCTACCTTCTACTTCCTTACCTCTAAAATGGGAATATCTAATTTTCAAATTTATTTTGGGCATAAAATATAATATGCTCTGGGGGATAATATTTTATAAACTATAAAAATGATATGTTTTACTGCTGTTGTCAAAGTGCTCCTTAAGTTTTTAAAGACAAAAATTGAGGAGGCCAAGTTATTTCTCTCCTGTGCCAGGCAAGAAAAGGAAAGGACAAAGATGTTCATATCTTATGTAGTTCCTTGAGCTCTTTGACCTCCGTCCCTAAAATGTGTTGGAAGCATTTGGCAAAGTCTTTCACTCATCTTTTCCTTGAACATACGTTTACTATTTTGTCCCACCTGTCTTAGAACTCATCCTCATTCTTTATGCATGCATGCATGTATACATTTGCTTGTTTTTGATTGAGTACATGAAATTAGATGAGTTGTAACTCTTGGCTTGTGACCCACCCTAATCATTGATCTCTGCATCTGCATGACCTTATTTGTTTAATATATAATATAACATATCATATGCTGCAATCCCTTTGTGACTCCATCACTTGATCTTTGATGGATGTGTTCCCTCCTTTTTCATCATTTGTAGTGGAAGAGCAATCATTTGAGAGTCAGGTGATGTGACTGGTGATCTCATTTCATTCTTATGTAAAATGGGAAAACAGGAGTGGAAGGTTCCTAAGGTGGCTTCCAAAGCTGAGCTATAATAGAGCCCATGTTATGGGATTATGGTAAACAGTTCCCATCTAGTCATCCTGTATTTGGTCAGTTTCTTTCTCCCATCCTCACTCCCCAGGCATTCCTTTATGTTTCAGAGATTTTTGTCCTAAAAACTACTTTCAATCTGTTCCTTCACTCTTAGGATATACTGCTTCAACGTTTATTTTGTCTGTTAATAACTAAAAGCAAAGTATTTTGGCAGGAAGGGTATAAGATCCTACTGGAAGTTAGGAGAGCAACATAACAGGAGAGCCTTGGTGAGTGGGAGGCATTTGAATGGGTGAGGGTGGTTCAGAATACACGTTCCAGAGTCACCCTGACCTCGGTTCCTGTGACCCTCAGCAAGTTGCTCAATTTCTCTGAGTCTCAGTGACCTTACTATGGAGTTGCCATGAGGATTAGATAAGCTTGCTGTGTGACATAGTAGCTGCTCAATAAATAAGCACCCCCTTTTCCTTTCCAGGAATCTAAACTTTATGGCCCTCTGGAATTTTTTTGTCAGCTTTCCTCTGGAGCCAGAGTTTTATCTACTTCTCACTCCGAGCCAGATGGATTATTCTCATCTTGGAATTCCCAAGGCAAGCATTGTCTGTCTCGAAGAGTCTGGAACTTGATGAGATAGAATCTTCCATTGTTCTCGGTCCCCTGTTTATGTCTTTCCTCAAAATTAGAACTCTTCAAGGGCGAGCATCTCCAAGGGCGGGTTCTGTCACCTGCTCAGAAAATCTTCCACTAACTGCACCTTTCCCCCACCAGCCTGAAGGGCTCCCTCCTCTGGGCTCTCTCAGAATTTCCTCTGCATTTCTACCAGCACAGCCCCAAAGCAAACTATCACACTTAATTACTTACCCGCTGGTCTCTCCTTTCCGTTTGGGTCAGAGACTGCTACATTCACATTTGTTCTTCCACGCTGCCTAGCCCAGCACTATGCATATGGCTGCTTGTTCACAACCACTTTTGAACTTAAAAACATATATATTATGTAGCTTCTTCAGTTTCTCCTGCGGTGCCAATCACAGTGCTGTGAACATATTAGGTTCTTAATAAATATGTAATTTAATGTTTGTGTTTCTTCTGCCCCAGCTTTCCCAGATGATGCATCTGTGAATACCATGGCAGATATAGTTCATCAGCTATTCAAGTGAAGGTCACTAGAAAGAGTGTAGACTTTGGAGTAGAATAAATTGGATTCAGATTCTTAATTCTATCTTTGCTAAATTAACATCTTCTTTTTTTTTTTTTTCCTTTTCTTTGCCTGGGATAGAGTGCAGTGGCATCATCATAGCTCACTGCAATCTCAAACTCAGCCTCCCAATTAGCTGAGACTACAGGCTTGTGCCACCACACCTGGCTATGTTTTCTAATTTTTGTAGAAATGGAGTCTTGCTATACTGCCCAGGCTGTTCTCGAACTCCTGGCCTTAAGTGATCCTCCTGCTTTGGCCTAACAGAGTTCTAGGATTACAGGCATGAGCCATCATGCCCAGCCTCATTGCTAAATAACAATTCTAATAACAGCTGATATTTATTGAGTATGCAATATGTTCCAAGCATATTTATGTGCTTTTTGTTGGAGCAATCCCATCTCATCCTTATAACAAACTTACAGAGGAGGTCTAACAAGCATCCCATTTTACAGGAGGAAAACAAAC